TATTATTTAGCTATATGACGCCCTCCCAGGACTGGACAACCATGCTGTAGCCGTCATTCGGCTATAGCGGGGTTGCCAAGTGGTTAAAGCGCTCTAAAGGTTCCATCATGAAAGAAGTCAGCGTGGTTCACTAGCTTCTAGGCCACCTCATCTGGGAATTTATGGACAGCAGCAGCCTACAACCCAAATACAGGCACAGTGCTGCAGAAGGATACAGTCAGTGTGCAGAATTGAAAGCTGTAGTAAAGACACTTCAGCAGGATTCTTCTTCCTATGTCACTATCTAAACTGACAGCTGGGTGGTCTTTAACCACTTGGCAACCGCATTATAGTCGAATGACGGTTACAGCGCACTTGTCCAGTTCTGGGAGGGGCGTCATATGACATCCTTCCAAAACGCTCCCTCCCACGCACCCCCAGCGGTGCGCACCCAGTGATCTCTATGATCGCTGTGTCCCATGGACACAGCTGATCACATGATGTGGTAAAAGGCCAATCACAGCGGCCTTTTACCATGTGATCAGCTGTGACCAATGACACCGCAGATCACCGGGTAAATGCAGTTGTCGGTTATCGGCTGCACTTTCCTCGCACTGTCACAGCATTGTCCGAAAACAGATCAGCACTGATGATCAGTGCCCTTATGATCAGTGCCCAGCAGTGCCATCTACCTGTGCCCATCAATGCCTAGCAGTGCCACTCACCTGTGCCCATCAGTGCCTAGCAGTGCCACTCACCTGTGCCCATCAGTGCTGCCTATTAGTGCAGACTCATCAATGCACACCAGTGCAAAATTTTATAATAGAAACAAAGAAAAACTTATTTTTTTCAAACTTATTGCTCTTTTTATGGTTATAGTGAAAAAAATAAAACACCCAGTGGCGATTAAATACCACCAAAAGAAAACTCTATTTGTCTTAAAAAAATTATAAAAAGTTCATATGGGTACAGTGTTGCATGACCGCGCAATTGTCATTCAAAGTGTGAAAGTGCTGAAAGCTGAAAATTGGCCTGGTCAGGAAGGTGGTATAAGTGCCCGTTAGGCAAGTGGTTAATGGACTGACAGCTTGAATACCCACGTGGAGGTCCATTGATTGGATGATTGATGGAAAAGTTGTGTGGTGAGGCAACAATCTGGGAAAGAAGCCCACTTGTGCACTATAAAAGTGGGGCATGTTGGCACACATATGCCCGTGCTCTCAGACTTCAAAAACGACTGTAAAAAAGAATGGCAAATTAAATTGCAAAGGTGGCTGCAATTGTGCCATTTGATCCTGTCTTGATGAACCTGGCCAATTGGACTCCAAAGCAATCAGGACTTTTGGAGCAGAAATAAACATGTGAATGGGCACAATAGAGAGGATTTCTCATATCCATGAACAAGTTAAAGACTGTAATAGGGACCTGTACAGTGTGTGGAGAAGTGCGACAATAGCCATCATAAAAAGTACTCCACTGGGACAATTAGGAGAGGTGAGAGGACTGCAGAGATTAGGCAGGTTGACTTCATTGCGGTCCCTTGCCCTTAAGAAACAATTGATTGAGGTATTGTTGTACTGCAGCAGATACCTATTCAGGATAATGGCTCTCATTTCACTGGATCAGCAGCATAGCAGTGGGCCAAAGATTCTGGAGTATACTGGCTCTGCCACATTCCACACCATCCACAGGCAGCTGGTTTGGTTGAAAGATACAACGGGCTATTGAAGGGCCAGATATGTAAACTTACACCCACAAACACACACACTAAGGGGATAGGTATGGGTCCTAATGCAGTTAGTTCTGTTAAATTCTAGGCCAATAGCCAAACATACACCATATGAGAGGATGGTCGAGGCTGGGGTATGGTCCCAAGGCTGGAGTGCAGATTTTAGTATTTACATAAGGTTCCTGAAAAAACAGGTCCTAACAGGTACGAAGTCACTGCCTCCAATGACAGAAACAAAAAGTGACATACACTATATTGCCAAAAGGTATTGGGACAGCCCTCCAAATCATTGGATTCAGGTGTTCCAATCACCTCCATGGCCACAGGTGTATAAAATCAAGCACCTAGGCATGCAGACTGCTTCTACAAACATTTGTGAAAGAATGGGTCGCTCTCAGGAGCTCAGTGAATTCAAGCACGGTAACGTAATAGGTTGTCACCTGTGCAATAAGTCCATCCGTGACATTTCCATACTATTAAATATTCCACACTCAACTGTTAGTGGTATTATAACAAAGTGAAAGCAACTGGGAACAACAACAACTCGGCCACGTAAAATGACAGGGTGAGGTCAGCGCATGCTGAAGTGTGCAGAAGTCGCCAACTGTCTGCAGAGTCAATAGCTAAAGACCTCCAAACTTCATGTGGCCTTCAAGTTAGCACAACAGTGCATAGAGAGCTTCATGTAATGAGTTTCAATGGCTGAGCAGCTGCATCCAAGCCTTACATCATCATGTGCAATCCAAAGCGTTAGATGCAGTTGTAAAGCACGCCACCGCTGGACTCTAGAGCAGTGAAGACATGTTCTCTCAAGGGACCAATCACGCTTCTCTATCTGGCAATCTGATGGACGTGTCTGGGTTTGGCGGTTTCCAGGAAAACGGTACTTGCCTAACTGCATTGTGCAATGTGTAAAGTTTGGTTGAGGGGGGATTATGGTGTTGGGTTGTTTTTCAGGGGTTGGGCTTGACCCCTCAGTTCCAGTGAAGGGAATTCTTAAGGTGTCAGTATGCCAAAACATTTTGGACAATTTCTTGCTCCCAACTTTGTGGGAAGAGTTTGGGGATGGCCCCTTCCTGTTCCAACATGACTGCGCACCAGTGCACAAAGCAAGGGCCCATAAAGACATGGATGAGTGAGTTTGGGGTGGAGGAACTTGACACAGAGTCCTGAGCAGATGATTACGCCTTGATAGGTCTTCCACTTTTTCTGATAACAATTGTTGTTGATTGCTGTGTTGTGCTATGATTGTATTAGCCAGTTCCAGCTCATCTTCAAGTGCTGAGACTCTCTCTTCAACCATTTTAAGCCTATTAGAGTGGTTTTGAATGTCCTTGTTGATCTGCTCTAGCCCCTGTAAAATAGCTTTATCCACTACCTCAGTCATTTTTTTTGGGGTAAGGAGGCTTACTACAGCCTCAGTGATCTTAGCATGGGTGCTGTTGATTCCCCATCTAGTGTGGCAGAAGAGGGTGACCGCTGCATGTCTTTCACTGTACCGGCGACAGAATCCATAGCTTTGACTGCAGATCTGGCCGGAGCGGTAACCATCTTGGATTCTTGTTGGCTTCACGCTGCTCCTGAAGCTGATGAGGGAGTGATTGTGAGCGGGTCCTATGCCGGGCTGTAAAGCGAACCATACAGTGAAGATCTGCAGTGGGAAGCTGGCTGTGTGTAAATTGGGTCACCCAGTGAGCTTTTATGCTGGCTTTTGAAGGGGTTCAGCAGAGCTTCAGCAGGATCACTGCTATTCCATGCGGTGCCGGAACCAGAAGTGATGGAGGGAGGTTAATGTGAATTTGCCCATTGAGGAGCTTTTTAATGAAATAGTATTATACAGAGTACTATTTGTGATCCTATTTTATTGTAAATGCAAACCTACCTGAGGTGGAGTAAAGCTGCTGAAAAGACAGAGAAGAACAGGAACTCCTTTTCCTATGGCCACAGACGTGTAAAAGCCCATGGTGGGGCAGTAACTGCATTGGGACCTTGATTCATATTGAGGTAAAAAAAAAAAAAAAAGAATGTGAACGTATTGAATGCACATGGGGTGGATGCATGTATCATCTGGAGTTTGGAGGAACTGAAGAGATTACTAATACAGTACTTGGTGGCGGATTTTTGCCTATCTTTATAATGCTGTTCACATAGCACTTAGGGTGCTTGGATTATGTGAGTATTTATTGGGGAGTCTTTTTTTTTATAAAACAGTTCTATACAGAGAACACTATTTTGGTTCTGTTTTATTTTACATGCCTACCTACCTGAGATTGAGTAGAGATGATGAAGAGTCAGGGGAAAACAGGAGTATCATTCTCTACCATACAGGTAACTAAAAGCCCTTGATGGGGTAACAAGTGCATTGAGACCTTGATTCATACGGAGGTCAATTGCAGAAGGTGAGCGTATTGGATGCATATGGGGTAGATGCATGTATCACCTAGAGTTTGGAAGAACTGAAGAGACTATTATTACAGCACATTGGTGGTGGATTTTTATGCACACTTAAGAGGAGATTGTAAATGGGACTTTATGTTTTGTTGATTATAATTACTTTGCTAATTTATGTGATTGTGCTGCATTTTATATATTGCACAATTTTTGAGAGGTGTAGTGAAAAGCACAGGGTATTGTTCTAGCAGCAATCTTTTTTTTTGGGGTATCACCATAGACTGTGCTGATTGGGTTTTTTTGTTTAGCAAGGTTTGAAGTTATATTTGCATTGACAAATGAGCTTCCAGACAGTGGCTGGGTCTCTGACTAATAAGTTGACACTTACCAGCCAGAGCGGATAATGAGACTCTATTACATCAAACTTTCCAAACAACAATGCTCCTCTGGGAAATAGTAGTACATTGATGTTATATCCCTATTGATGTTATTTGGGATGATCAGAAATGGATGCAGGCAGATGGCAAAGTATTAGTCAGAGACCATAAACAATGAGCCAATTAGAGGAGAGATTGCAACTGAAGGACCAGTCTCTACCATTTTTGTATTGCTAGAAGGAACAGTAACCCACTGTGTTCTCCACTCCATGGGCTCTCTCTTATTTGATCCACAGGAAGACCTGGGAAAATGGCTTCTTGATTAAGAGAATAATAGACCACAAGCACGACTGGTGCTACCACTGGGCAAACTAGGTGGCCATGTAGGGAGTACGGCCACCTAGGGGCACCTGGGCTCAGCACAGGCCAGCACTCTCTTTGTGTGGAACACCGTTACGTCATGAATGAACCTCCAGCTGAGGGGAGGGGCGCCAGGTGGGAAGCAGGAAAAGGACAGAGGAAGATGTCAGGTGTCTGGGGCCAGTGTAGCAGCTGAGCTGCAGTTCCTTCCAGTGTTCCTCTCAGACTCAGTGCCTTACTAGAAGCCGGCTGGTGGCTGCTGATGATCACTGTGGCATTCCAGCCCTTCTCTTCCCATTGATCACTAGAAGAGGAAAGTAATTTCTGACTCTGATGTCTTGTGTCTGTGTGAGTGTGACCCGGCAGGCCATCCATCACATGTGCAATGTGTCAGCGAGTGATGACATCATCACGATCCCTGTACTGTCCGCAGTCTTTGGTCATTCCCTGTACTGTCTGCAGTCTCTGGTCATCTCCTGTACTGTCTGCAGTCTCTGGTCATCTCCTGTACTGTCTGCAGTCTCTGGTCATTTCCTGTACTGTCTGCAGTCTCTGGTCATTTCCTGTACTATGTCCGCAGTCTCTGGTCATCTCCTGTACTATGTCCGCAGTCTCTGGTCATCTCCTGTACTATGTCCGCAGTCTCTGGTCATCTCCTGTACTATGTCCGCAGTCTCTGGTCGTCATCTCCTGTACTATGTCCGCAGTCTCTGGTCATCTCCTGTACTATGTCCGCAGTCTCTGGTCATCTCCTGTACTATGTCTGCAGTCCATTGGTTCAGAATATTTTTTTTTCCTGTTTTCTGCCTCTAAAACCTAGGTGTGTCTTATGGTCAGGTGCGTCTTATGGAGCGAAAAATACGGTATATTATAGTTTATGATTTCGTGTTTCAAATTCTATCATACCCGGGATGTTTACTAGACTCTTGTTCGGACAGATTTCAGTGAGTTATTCCTAAGAATTATAGGCCTACAATAAAAAACAACATATTTCCATGCAAAAAATATGTACCGCTTTGAGCACAGAAATACTGACATAATCAGACCGCTTGGGAGGTTAATAATATGCACTGTCACTGTACTAATGACACTGGGCAGGAAGGGGTTAACATCTAGGGTGATCAAGGGGTTAAATATGTGCCTAACAAGTGTTTGTGTGTGTGTACTGTGTGCTGCTTTTATTGGGGATCTAGTTTTTCATTCCCCGCTTAGCAGGGAATGAAAAGCCAATTATATCCCGTGTAACTGAACACAGTTCTGTGCTGTTTACACTCAAAGAGCTGTGTTCTGTAAGACTCAGAGCCAATCGTTGGGTGCTGCCGGTCAATCATTTGCCAGGACCTGGTGATCGGTATGTGCTATGATAAATCACAGCACAGCTGGGCGGGCGCGTGCAGGCGCGCCCCCCCACCCGGAAATGCAGAATCACCTATACATACGTGATTCTGTGCAGAGCAGCCACCCTGTAGCAGAAAAGCTACATGAGCTGGTCACCATCTGGTTAATGTACATTCTTGTTTAGGAAAAGCATGTTAATATACTACAGGGGTTTTGTTTGTTTCCTTGCCTTACCACAAAGTAGGAGAAAAGATAGAAGCAAAACATCAGCGGATAACTTTACCTGATAATGATGTTCCTTCCAGCTTTTCTATGACCCCAGGATTGTTGGCTTTGAGAGCTTGGTAGAACATGTCCTTGTCAGGGTTGCTCCATCCCCTGCTAAACTGATACAGGCACCTCATCTTCTCCTGGGTTGTCTCCTTAGCCTTCACCGTGTCATAATGTTCCTGAGTCAGAAGACCTCTTTGAAGTAAATAGTCCAAGACTGGATGTACCATAGTGATCTTCCGGATGAGCTCTGCCTGGTGCTGACACACAAAGTGTGTCCGATCTTAATGCAAAAATATAAATCACATGTTCACATTGCTGCTAGTTCATATGTAATTGACAAAAACTGCACATACACTGACCAGCCATAGATTATCTTGTTACAATGGAAAGTGGGTGGGATACTGTATATCAGGCAGCAAATGAACATGTTATCCCTGAAGCCGATGTGTTGAAAGCGGAAGGATCTGGGCAATTTTGGAAAGGGTCAAATTGAAATGGCTAAACTGGGTCAGAGCAATGCCAAAACTGTAGCTCTTGTGGGATGTTCCTGGTCTGCTGCAGTGGTCAGGACCGACCAAAAGTGGTCAAAGGAAGGAAAACAGGGTCATGGGCAGCCAAGGCTCACTGATGTACACAGTGCCAGGACAAGCTCATGTAGAGCCCAGGGTGAACATGCCAAATCACGCCCCCTCCCCCAAAGATGTTTGAGCATTACATGTCAGCAAAAATCCCCCCCCCTCAAAAAAAAAATAAAGCACGAATTTGCATGTTTACCCCCTAAGCATAAATCCCCCCTTCTCCCAGTACACACCCCGACTAAAATTAAAGCCTCTATCTCCCCCAGCACAAATCCAACCCCAAAATTTTCTCCTCCTAGCACAAATCCTCTATCCTCCAAATTTCCCCTCCTAGCACAAAACCTCTATCCTCCAAATTTCCCCTCCTAGCGCAAAAACCCTCAATCATCCTTACTAACATGAATTCCCCTTCCCCAATCCCCCATCCTAGCACAAATCCCCCCCCCTCCCCCCAATTTCCCCTCCTAGCACAAAAAACCTCAATCACCCCTACTAACATGAATTCCCCTTCCCCAATCCCCATCCTAGCACAAATCTCCTCTCCTCCCCCCCCCCCCCCCCCGCAAATTTCCACTCCTAGTACAAAAAAACCCCCAATCATCCCTACTAGCACAAATTCCCCTTCCCCAATCCCCCATTCTAGCACAAATCGCCCCTCCCCCCAAATTTCCACTCCTAGTACAAAAAACAATCATCCCTTCTAGCACAAATTCCCCTTCCCCAATCCGCCATCCTAGCACAAATCTCCCCCCCCCCGGCACAAAAAAACCCCCAATCATCCCTACTAACATGAATTCCCCTTCCCCAATCCCCCATCCTAGCACAAATCCCCCCCTCCCCCCAATTTCCCCTCCTAGCACAAAAAACCTCAATCACCCCTACTAACATGAATTCCCCTTCCCCAATCCCCCATCCTAGCACAAAATCCCCCCCCTCCCCCCAATTTCCCCTCCTAGTACAAAAACCCCCAATCATCCCTACTAGCACAAATTCCCCTTCCCCAATCCCCCATCCTAGCACAAATCTCCCCCCCCTCCCCAAATTTCACCTCCTAGCACAAAAACACCCAACCCAATCATCCCTACTAGCAAAAAATCCCCCCCCCCCCAAAAAAAACACACAAAAAAAAAAAGCCTAGCACAGATCCACTCCCCTCTTACCATATCATCTTTTCTAGCATGAACCTCCCCAAATCCTCCCCTCCTAGCACAAATGCAAAGAAAAAACAGATTAATATATGGCCTGCTAAAGTAGGAGTATGCTGATGCTGTCCCTGTTCCCACTGACACAAAACTGTCTTTCGGCTGGACCTTTTCTATGACACTCATCTTAAGAACTAAGAGACCACAGATGATGAGTAAAACTGGCCAGCAGCATGACAACTTTAATGAGGGAGAATATGCCTAAATTTACTAAAGAAAAAGAATACTGGCACGTTTTACTACAGGTATTAAAGGACTACAGAGGATACATCAATGTAACATTGGCAAGAAGCAGGACAATTTTAATCATTAAATAGGAGCTCCAGTCAAATTTGTAAAAATGTAAAGTCACCAGGTCTCTCACACTTTCAAAAACTGTAGCTGCTGACTTTTAAAAAACAGATACTGACCTGTCCCAGGATCCAGCACTGCGCTCACCCGAGCCATTTGTTCCGCCAGTCTTCGGTCCCCGTTGGCAGCATCTTAACTGTGGGCAGCTGGCTGTGACAGCCAGGAGGTGGTACAAAAGTTAATAGATGGAGTGCATGATCTGATGGGAGTGACTCAATTACAGTTTTTTTTTAGGTGGCGGTGGGGTAGGCTTTCCTGAGTTCATGAGTTTTCCAGGATTGCCTAAAGGTGGACAGGGTAGGAGCTGACCTGACATACTGGGGCAGGGAGTTCCAGAGGATGGGAGAGATTCTGGAAAGGTCCTGGAGGTGAGCATGGGAGGAGGTAACAAAGGAACTAGAGTGCAAGATGTCTTGGTTGCACCAGAGAGGACGATTTAGACGATATCTGCAGATGACGTTGGTGGTGTAGCTAGAAGTGCTGTGGATGACTTTGTATGTTGTTATTAGTATTTTGAATTTTATACGTTGGGCTAGTGGAAGGGGGTAAGATTTAGCCAGTGTTTGGATGTGGGCCCAAAAGGAGAAGTGAAAGTCTAGGATTACACCTAACACCCTGGTATGTGTGGAGGGATAAATGGTTGTGCTATTGAAAAAAAGTCTTTAGTTAAAGTGGTAGTCAACTCTTTTTTTTTTACTTTTACCTATAAGTAAGCTTATAATAAAGCTTAGCTGTAGGTAAAAGCACCAATTAGGGGATATTCACTCTTTTTGAGAGCCGGCGCATGCGCCCTGAAGGAAAGGCATACTCTGCTGTGGTCTGAGACTAGTGATGGGCCTACAACACCCCCCTGTTCATCTTACAGTCGAACATTCGAATCTACTAAAAGTTCGACCACGAACTTACAACATGGACAATTTACTGAGCAGTATATTACCGCATCTGAGTATGTGATAAGATACCGCTCAGCTACTAAAATACTGCATGAGTTATATTATTAATTTATGCAGTATTTTAGTAGTGAAATATTCTTTTTATGTTTCAGCTGTCAGCCATTCGCTGCTGACAGATGAATGTCAAAAAAATTGCCAGCATTGGCTGACAATTTTTTTTTTTAAAAAACAACGTGGGGCCCCCCTCCCTCTCTTCCCCTCCCTTCCATACCAAGCCCTTCAGGTCTGTTATGAATTTTGAGGTGAACACCCCACGCTAACATTTTTAAAAAATGGCGTGGTGGTCCACCCAAAATCCATACCAGACCCTTATCCAAGCATGCAGCCCAGCACGTCAGGAAAGGGAGGGACGAGCAAGCACCTTCCGAGCATAGGTATCTGTCTGTTTCTGTTCTACATCATATTTTCTTGTGCCTTTTTCTAAATTAACATAAATTCTACAACAACATAAAATGAACAACCTGTCCAGCATGGTAGTTCTTACCTCTAGGAATATTGGATGCCATCGTTTATGGTATGAGACCCACTGACCAGATATTTGACCTGGAATTAAAAGGAAACAACTATTATAGCTAAATTGTTTAAATTGTACCATATTTTTGTAAACTCAGGCATCAGGCCTCCAAATTAATATCACAACTAGACAAATACCTATCAAAAACTGTAGATGAACCCCCCAGGATCTTTCTCCAGCTGACACCATAAAGGACCAGACCACTCTTCGTGTACTTCTACGGTTGAATAGTCATAGATCTGAGCTACAAGTCAGAAGAAACATGAATATCAGAATTATGAACATCCCAAACTATCTCTCATTTCTAGGGTTGCCACCTCATCTTTTTGAAACCGAGCATGTTAATTACAAAGATTCTGTGGTTGATTACTGTGGTAATCAAACTCACCTAGTGCCTTATGTGAATTGTTATTCTCAGAAACTGTATAATTAAGATGTGCTCGCTTTTTAAAGGGATGAGGTGGCA